GAGGGGGTAGTACGTAACACCGCTCCATGTCTACTCTCTCTTCAGATAAAGAGGAACTCTTTCAGAATGTACTGACGCGAGCAGCAGAGGAGTTTTCAAAGTAAGCAGATAGGTGAGTGCGCATGTTTCAGTCTAAATTTACTGTAAATGGTTTCTTTACACTCTGTTCTAACACCGTCTTTTATATTCCTTCTTTCAATTAGCTTGGCTTGGGGGTTTTGTAGAGCATTGTCCAGAAGACAGAAAACCTTGTATCTCCAAAACCTGAAACAGAATGATGAAAATGTCGGTTTTATAACTGCTGTGGCTTTTCTTTCATGTTCTTCACTTTGTATTAATTCAACGAGGCTATAACCCCACCTCGAGTTAACAGCAGCTGCAACTTGTTAATGTTACTGCTAGTTATCTGTTGTTGTCGTCGTATCTCTTCATCCGTATCTGCCTCTTTGAACTTTCACTTGTTGTTCCACAGATGATTCTGCTGCTTTTGCTCTCATGTCATTTTCAAGCCAATGAAACATTTACGCAGTGTTGTTAGAGCTGTAATTCTGCAGTAGAGCAGAGCTTTGGTGGTTTGTCAAAGTCTGAAGCTGAAATAAAGGATCTTCATGTCTGAAAATAAATTTGCTGTGAGCAGTGAATTTGCACCTGCTGTGTTTTAAGACGAGCAGAAGAATATTTAACATTATTTGACTTACTGTCACATTTTTAATACAATAACATGTTTATGTATCTATGTACCATTCTGCATGTGCTTCCTTATGACAGATGAGGTATGAAGACGGGCACCTGAAAGAGTTAAAATACAGCGACAGGCCAAAAATGAATAAACAACGGATATGGATTAATGTGAACACGTTCACAAGAATATAAATACTCTTGCTCTTACTAAGACAAAAACTATGTGTAAACATAACTGTTCATTGATCATTAAGCTTCTCCATGAGCTCCCTCGCTCCTTTATGAACTGTCAAGCTATGTGGCCTGGAGCAGTCATGCCAAATCTTGAAGCACCTTAATCTTTGAAGATATACTTACTGTAGACATTAGAAGTAAATATATGGAGTAGAGCAGTGCAGGAATGTGCAGTTCGGTATCAGTATTTGGACCATGACACAATTATTTGTCCTCATGACACCACAGTGTAATTTCAGGTTGAAAGGGAGACTTTGTCTCAGTGAGGAGACTGTGTGGAGTGGAGAATAGGGGACACAAAAGCAAACAATACAAAGCATGGAAATAAGCTTAATATTAACTGAAAGCGAGCCGTTTTATTACAGGCTGGTTTTAACTGTACAAAACAAGAGCCGAAAGCAAAACTAAACCCTATATTAAACTGGGTGAACTAAGGATAAACATAAGAAACCCTGAAAGTGAATATGAAAACATGAACCGTGAAGACTTGGCATAAGTACATGAAATCCTGGAAAACATGGCGTGAGCATAGCAGGATAGCAGACAATCAGTCAAGGAATAAATGCAGACTCAAGGACACACAGGATGTGATCAGGGCAAACACATGTGGAAACAGCTGGGTGGAATGAACATAATGATGCCACAGGGGAAGTAGAACTAAACACAATGAACATGGGACACCAGACCTCTTCAAAATAAAAGAGGAAAGATGAACACATGACACATGACAGTCTAAGACACACAGACTTAACATAACAAACTGACGAGGAATACGCACATTATAAATACACACAGAGGAAAAAGGGAACTGGAGATGAGACATAGACATAAGCACGCACAAACTGAACATGATGGGTGCAGAAACACACACATGATGGATGGAAAGGGACTTGAGGGAAAACATGTAAACAAGAGGAGAAGACGGGAGACAAGGACATAAACACAAGGGCCGAAGACACAAGAGGAATCTAATAGAAAATAAACTATAACTGGGCAACCTAGGCAAAATAGATGAGATAAAGATAACTGCATGAACTTAAACATAAACATCAAAATAGATTAAAAAGCAAAGCGCTGGGTCAAATGAGCCAGGATGGTGGCAGATTTTCACCTTTAATTAGTGACTTTTTAGAAGCTGTTAATTGTTGATTTGATTTTGATTGTTTGGTTTAGAGTCCCAGATGGTGGCCTTTCCATTTTCATTAACAACTTCTCCATTTCCTCTTTCCTACCTACTTCCATGTGTCTGCAGGGCATTCAAAATCAACAAGCTGAAGACTGAGGTCACCAACCGTCTCACAATGTTGGAAAAGAGAGTAGAGCGTAAGTTCGTTCCCACCACTCTACAGTCACATTTACTGTCTTCCGTCATCAGCTGTTAATCTTGGATATAAAAGACACATTTGAAAAACGAATGCAGTGTTTGATTAGTCATCACTATCCTCGTGACTTATAGCCAACTCACCGAAAAGTCAATGATCATATATGTCACATAGAAAGTGACACATTATGTGTTTATAGCCCCATTTTGGATTTGGGAGACAAACCTCCAACAGGTTTTGCTGAAGGGTTCTTCCTGTTAAAAGGAAGTTGTTCCTTTTCACTGTGCTTGCTTAAAGGGGTCATATGATTGTTTGGGCTTTCTCTCTATTATTGTTGGTTCTCTGTCTTATAATATAAAGTGTTTTGCAGCACTCTTGTCATTTGGTGCTATATAAATTCAATTGAATGGCCGAGGCACCCAGGATCTCTCTTCTGGACTATACCCCTCCCAGTCCACGAGACAGGCCAAACATCCAGTAACCTCATCACAGAGTAGGCAGGTAGTGGCCAGAGGTCACAGACGGCTGGAACAGACTGGTTTAACTCTCGATACATTGCAAGACTTACAAATGTTCATATTTCTGGGTAATTTGAGATGCATGTGACGGGATTTATGACTGACTGAAACCAGTGAAACTGAGAGACAGTTCCCTTGACTCAGTGCGGAGAGGAATGTGTTTAGCAAATAACGAGACTTTCTGACCTGGAAAATATGTTGGAACAGGAAGACAGTGATGATCGATTTGTTGTCTGTTCTGGGAGGAAGTCCTGACCAGTGTGGTTCCAGTTAATTTTCCACAGACGTCTTCAGCGACAGAGATGAAGTTAAACAAATGGGACACTGAGATCAGCTTCTTGGGATGGGAACAGAGGTAGGCTGGAGCCTATTGCAGCTACTATAGTACAAGAGGCAAGGTACACCCTGAACAGGTCACCAACCTCACACAGGGCTAACACATAGAGAGAATCACCAGTTAACCTAATCTCACTACCTGCATTTGGACTGTACCCAGAGAAAACAAAACGGGGAGAACATGCCAACTCCACAGAGAAAGGCCCCGACCAGATGGTGGAGTTGAACTGAGGACCTTCTCGCCCTCTCGGCAGGTGTGGCAGGGCATCTAGCATATCACCTACTTCAGAGGGCAGACCCATGCAGAAGAACTAAATACTGTCTCATGCCTTGACATCCTGGTCAGGAAACTGTCTGAACTGAGATTCCCCCCTCCCACTTGCTCTTGGTTCTTTAGCAACCTTCCAAACTCAGTCCACACCTTTCCTCTGCTGAGCACTGGCTCCCCACAAAGGTGTATGTTGAGCCTATGGCTCTACAGCCTCTACACCTCTGTCTGCAGACCTGCTTACACCAGCAAGACCATAGGGAAGTTTGCAGATGATGATGATGACTCTGCCACAGAGACGATGTAATGAATCTGTCTGCATTATGTTGAGTAGACAGTGAACACCACAATGACACAGGAGATGATCCTGGACTTCAGAAGACACAGAGCAGACCACCTTTACCTCTACATAAATGATGACCCTGTGGAGAGACTTCAGGATTTCACATTCCTGGGCACCGTGATCTCTTCCAACCTCTCCTGGACTGTAAACACCTCCTCCATAGTCAGGAAGGCACAGCAGTGTCTGCAATACTTCACAGTGCACAGAAGAAATAGCATTTGTAAGAAGACCGTCTAACGCTCCACTCATCCTGCATCTCACCTGTTCAAACTGCAGCCCTCTAGGAGATGCTGCACATTCATCCAAACCAGGACCAGTTTCTTTTGACAAGCCGTCGCGGTACTGAACACACACACACATCACCCCAGCACAAGACGAGTGCAATACTTCAGAGCAAACCTTGGACATCTGTATAGTCTGGTAGTCCAACTCCTCCAGGATCACAGAGCAAAACAGTCACCATCTACCGGAACCAAATTCCTTGTATGTGTCTGCACATATACTTGGCCAATAAACACAACTCTGATTCTGACTCTGATTCTTTCTGATTACCAGAAGGTTTGCTGTGTCTTTCAAAGTATTTTTGTTTATGTCTGCCAGCACAGCCTCAAGCAGATATCAAAACATGCCATTATCAGAAAATTTGCTGCATCTTTCCCAGCACAGTCTCAACAGCATGGAGGGAATTCCAGGAGACAGGCAGTTACTCTAGCACAGGAATGTCAAAGTCACTTTACATCACGGGCCAAGAATATGCTTTAGGTCATGGAAGATGAAGGCCCTAACACTGCTGGCTGGCACTCACACTTGACAAACTAAATCCAGTAAAACACCTCTTAGATATTAAATCAAACCATAACTGAGCCTCCACCGTGACAAAAGGCTGTAGACACTTACTATTTTGTAAGTGTACATATTTTATATTCACTTCTTAATCCCTGTTTAAGGCTCCGTCGTTTTTTTTCTCGATGTTTCCACTCCTAAAGAATGACGTCTTCTCAGTCACTCATCCACTGAGACAGGTTCTGATAAATCTATTCATGGATCCACAGGGGCGTAATTTCCAGGGGAGTTAGGGGGGTTGTAACCCCCGCAATAATCAGACCCAACCAATACAGCCCCCCCAATAAAATTATGAATTATCTTGTATAAATAGGCTGTTGGTTTTCTTTACTCATTTCAGTTATTATCAGCAAAATAGTTGCATCTGGAAATTTACCCAGATTTATTTATTTATTTAGACAGAGACCTTGACTCCCCCAGTGTTCAGCACACCGTCATGGTTCTGGGTCTTTGTCCCAGAATTTTCAATTTATGTTGTGGTCTCATGATTTGGTTTCTTTTAGGATTTGAGATGATTTATGATCTATTTCTATATCTTGTACTTTGGAGTTTTAGATTGTTCCCTAGTTTTGTTTTCTGTGCTCTTCTGAAGATGATCTTAGTTTCTGTTTTTGTGTAGTCCATCTTAGTCTTGTCTCTGTGATTGTATCCCTTTCTGTCCCCATTGTTGTGTCCCTATGTCCCTGTGCTTTGGTTAGCTAGCACCCTGTCTCTGTGCTCACTGTTTAGTTCTGTCAGGTTAGTATGTTTTAGTCCTGGTGCCAGGGATTATTACTTCCTGTTTTATTTTGATAGGTCCTCTTGTGCGCTATTGTCTCCTTGTCTCATTAGTTAGACTAAGTTCAGCTGTAGTTCCCAGTTGTCTTCACTCTGCCCTCCTCTTGTGTATTGATGACCTCCATTTGCTTCTGTTCTGTCACATCCTTCTTCTTGCTGTGTGCCTTGTGTGTTCCTCCAAGTTCCATGGTTTCCATTAAAGTGTGAAGGTTTTTGGTGTCTATGTTTTGACCTTCATTATTTTGTACTCTATTTTTAACCAGATATGGACTTCTATTTATTTAGAAGCCCACATCTGGTTTGTGGAGAGCAGATTGTTGTGTTTAATGATTATGATTTGAATCACCATTATGAGACTAAACACACAGAGAAATATCAGAACCTAATTGATATGGAGCTGGAAAAATTGCTCATGAGGCTACACTTTTTACTGAGATTTACACCTCCATTGATGGAGTTGTCATGTCATTCTCTGTTACGAGTTTATTAAAGTGTTTACTGTCCCTCTAATATGCTCAGAGGAAAAAAAAAGTAGAATCTGAAAATGTGCCCTTCCCCAGGCAAGTCATAACACACAGAAGGCATCTGTAACTGAAAGAAAAAAAATAATTGGGCAAGAGAAACGAATCACAGTCACGCTTTTGTAGGGGCAGAAAATGGTGACAGAGGCTAGCAGACAGCTGTGAGGAGGACTGGCCTGGAAAAAATGTTAAAAACAACATGGAAGAATGAAAGATGTGGAAGCTTACTCATTGTTCATGTGACACGCTTTGCATTTCCACCTCAGATACTGAACATGGCTTTAATACACTATTGTCCAAGCTCAGAAACAGGCTAGATTTCTCTTACTAACCAAGAAAAAACCCTGAAAACACATGAAGTAAATAAACTACAAGTAACATGACTATAGCATTATCTATAAAGTAGTCTTTGAAATGTTGCAAAAATATGCTCGTTTCTCACAACTCTTTTGGCGAATGTTGATTAAATACTAATAAAATGTTGATGTTATTACTACACCTACAGTATGTCTATTTACTAAATAAATATTGAGCAGAAACGAGTTTAGCTTATTAATGTGACTCCACAGGACTGGCAGTTTCTCATCTCTCGTCTGTTTCTCAAGGGAATTTCTCCCAAGACAACTGAGCAAAGAAACAATTTGAAATTATTTATTTAGGCACTTTGTTACTGACAGCCTTTTGCAAAAACACATTATTAGCATTAGTTTAAGAGTGCATATTTATGCAACCAGGTTTTTATACGTTTTTCATTTTTATTTTCCCCCTTAAAAGATTGTTTTGCAAAATGAACTGTTTTCTCAAATGTCATAGCAATTCTCTGGAATTCTGTGGCTAAAAACAGGTTTGACATGAACCTCTTTCTGTATGGAGATTTATCAGATCATGGTGTTGTGTCAAATTATGTAGTTAGATTTTCTGAAATTCAACTTTCTGCAATAGAGGTATAAAACTATAGAAAAGACCTCACCATTAGATTACTGTAATGCTCAGCCTCATTCATGCACATTAGCGTACAGGTAACTGAGCACCTTCAATGCATTTTGTCTGAAGTTGTGTTCCTCTACAGTTAATGATACTGTGATTAGATAAGTTGATGCCCCACTGTGTGTGTGGTCTGCTAACCCACCTTGGGAGGCAGTTAACTTTGTGAGATCATTAGAGTCTATTGAACATTGACCTGTTCAGAGTATAAAAGTGTGTGCTGTCATTTTATACTTACACAACATCCAATGTAAGGTCATGCACCAATGCCATTTCCTCTAGCAAGCTTCTACCATTTTATTAAGTGCAAGCGGGAACTTTGCACTTCTGAGGCTGCCGACTTGTTCACCGTGCTGCTAGACTTAGTTTGACCAGCTTGTCTGATGGCGTCTTGGCAGGCAATACAAAGTTATGCAATATGATCAATGAATGTTGGGATCGTCTTACTTTTCTTATTCTTTTATCTTTTATAATATAGGATTTCTAGGAGTTTATTGTTAAAGTAATTACCAGCAGGAACATTTATTCTGTCGTTGTTTAGCAATGATTGCAGTGATTCAAGCAAGGCTATAACAATAACAAACATGCATTTTGTGTTTATTTGTGCTATGTTTGATATTTACATTTGTTTGATAATCTAAACATTTAAGTGCAACAAACATACAAAATAGTAGTAAATCAGGAAATGTAGTTATCACACCTGTTTTATTAACTGTGTGTTAACACTTTATATTAAGGTACAAGTTCCACATGACTTATTAGCATAGCATGCAAAAAAAAACAAAGAAAAAAACCATAAAAGCATAAGTAGAACAGGGTTCAAGATTGCGTGATCCAGTAAGCTTGTAAGCTTTTCAAAAAAAGTACATTTGAAACTTAAAAAGTAAAGTTTAAAAGTAAAGACTGTGTCTGTTTTCTGAATCCAAGATGATCAAAGTGGTAGAAACACATTCTTTTCTGTTGTATTGCAAATAAAGCTAAAGTAGTTATTCAGAGCAGCTAATGAAGCTCACTAACTCTGTGATGCATGATTTCTGCACTGTGAGGGCATCTTAGTGATGTAATCATGTGTTCAGAACAAAGTGAAGGTTTTTGCCAGTTTTTGATGCAACAGCAGCAGAACAACTCAGCAGGGCGGACATCAAGAGCACACCATGAATTATGGCTTTAAACACAGCTGTTCAAACCTCATTAAATCCTGACTGTGATGACCTCTCAACATCACACTTTGGCAAAACACAACTCAAGATTTCTCCATGAAAGATATGAGAGTGCATCCTCTGCCAGTGCTCTGTCTCTATTCAATTCAATTCAATTCATCCATCCATCCATCCATCCATCCATCCATTCGCTTCCGCTTATCCTTTCAGGGTCGCGGGGGGCGCTGGAGCCTATCCCAGCTGTCATAGGGCGAGAGGCGGGGTACACCCTGGACAGGTCGCCAGTCTGTCGCAGGGCTAACACACAGGGACAGACAACCATTCACACTCACATTCACACCTAGTGACAATTTGGATTAATCAATTAACCTATCCCCACAAGCTGCATGTCTT